CTACAACCTTTGAATCTCTTTTCTAAGAGACTTTCCAGATCTGAAAAGTCTTTTAACTTGAAATATCCGATCTCCGGGGGAGGTTGGATACTGGTATTGCCGACTTTTTCTTTTCCTTTAGTATTGGAATTTATTCTAGAAAGAAGTTTATCGACATTATCATGAATAGAAGTAATCTGTTCTCCTAATATGCTCATATAAATGTTAGCATAATTTTGCTGCTTGATCATAATATTAATATGCTGAGTAGTAAGTAAAGCAGTATTATCTTTCAGAAATTGGTTTTTATAATTTTTTAATAAAGAAAAACATATTTGATTTCAAGAAGAATTTTATACAGATCTTATTGAATCAAAGAAAAACTTATTAATTTCTTTTGTTCCTTGGTTTATGGCTAAGTATGTTCATAATTATATCTCTATGATAGAAAGAGATTTTACATTAAGTATTGGGGAAGTTACTAAATTTGTTTTTCCTCCCTTACAATCATTTCAAATTAATAAGGACGAAAAGATTGTAGTGAAAGCTTCTACTATTCGGGTCCGCCCTAACACCCTCCTGGATAACGGGTAATCCAACTGATTCATTCGACAGCCTTTCAAAAATCTGCCAGGATCATTTTAACTTAACCTCAGTAGAATTGTTCAATATGTTTTAACAATAGACAAATCGCCATTTCTTATAGTAACTTAGTATGTTATAGTTCAACACAAATAGTCTAGACTATCATTTAGGCTAAGCACATACAGAAAAAAACTAAAATTAAAATGTCACACCTGGACTAGACTCGCCTCGTGATACTAGATCACTGGCTAGAGGAGCTATTCTCCAAGACTCTTCTTCTTAAGCTGAAGAGGGAGGTAGTAGTTCTGATAACGGGGAAAACTCGGGCAGTAAATCTGATGTTGCTGCTGGCAGCCAATCTGCGAATGACTCGAGGGCAGTGCTGAATCTGAAAGAGGTTCTCAGGGAAACACAAGTACCTCTCCACCTGTGGCTACCATAGAAGCTAAAGCTGGAGTACAAGAAGAAGCAGCTAATAGAGAAGATGAGGAAGAAATCACCGATGATGATACCATGGTGATGTATGTGAACACTCAGGAACTGAACCCTGCATTGAGACCACAGCTGATTGTTTGTTATCATTTCATGTGGACTGTCAACCGGTCTAAAGAGTTCTTTGACAATGGTATTGTGAACAAAATTGGGGGCTTTAAGAATCGAGCAATCATGCCTGAGACTAGGGTGGTGGTAACTGATATCAAAGCATTCTCGGACATCTATCGGATATTTTAGCTCCATCAGTTCGACTGGATGGACAATGCACCTGGCAAATACTCTAGCCACCTGACTAGAGAATTTTATTCCTCTTATGCAGCTACATTGATGAATTGTGCTGCGGTTACAGAGACCACGAAACATGGACAGAAATACATGGCTATCACATGGGGTCCACTCAACTCAATCATAGTTAGGGGCAAATCAATAGATATTTCTGAGGCGTCGATTAACAAAATGTTGTACGGCTCGAAATACTCTGCACCAACTTCAGTTGGCCTTTTCGAGGGAAAACATAATGAGGTCACCAGTGATGCTACAATGGTAGATCGGACTTCTCGAGAAAGGGTTTTATGCTGGATTGCGAAGCAGATTGCCATAGATGGGGAAAATGCAGTTTGGGTCATCACAACTCTAACACTCATCACTAAAGCTTCGTTGTCTTTTCCAACCAAGGTTTGGTAGGCTATTTTCCGAGCGCAATTGCGATCGATAGCTATTGATAACATTTGTCACCTTCCTTGGCCTCATTGGTAGACTATCTTTTGGTAGGTTACCCGGTAAATACGGGATGGATAATAGCAATCAAGATTAGCGACAGGGCGTTAAATGTGAGAGATGCACTTCCTTTTCCCTGTCTGATAGGGAAATTATGTTGAGGAGCGAACATTCCTCCGAACAGCCTAGTTGACAGATGGGGTAAAGTATTCAGACTAACCCAGGTTTCTAAAATCAAGGATGTCGTGAACAATCTCTTTGGCGCGAAGTCTGCCACTGTGAGTACTTTACCTATTGTTCCTCATGTCCCACTTGACATCCCACATGCATATAAAGGTCCAGAACATGGAGAGTCATCACAGCCGTCCACAGAGGCATCAACACCTCCAACTTCAGCCTCCCAGACTCCAGGTACCTTTGTCACTATCCCTATTCTTTTTCTTGAGAAATTGGTTGCAGATCAGCGCCAGACTAGGACATTGGTAAACCAGATTCTGCTCTGGATATCCCAGTTGATAGAAACAAAGGTATTAGCTATGAAAAAGGAGATCAAAGATGAGATGAGGATGGAGCTATCGGTCTAAAAGACAAAATGGATGGTTTGGAGAACCTTGTTCAAGATCGATTCCAAGCAGCCGATTCAGCAGATACTAAGGAGTTCAGAGCCCAGTTAGATGAGATGCGCACTCAAATTACTAAGTTGGTTGAAAAGCCAGTACAGGTGCCCACTCTGGTCATGCCAGAGTCGTTGATGCAAATGTTATGTCAGGCACCCTCAACTTAATCACTCGATGATCTTTGAGGAGAACCCCACACGAGTAAATCCGGTAAGAGAAAACACAAAGCTGGAGAACTTGATGAGGAGACCCCTACTGACCCAGCTAGAGAGGCAAGAAGGCAAGAAAAGAGAGCTCATAGAGCATCAAAGAGGGAAGCTTGGGAAAAGGAAGCCCTTGAACAGGAACAACGAGATGCAACCTTAGTTGGAGCTTCTGGTAGTGGCGCACCTGCTCCGACTAATGAGGCCCAAACTGATCATGTCTCGATTTTGGAGAGTGCACCCATTGATAAGGGTGTCAATGCTGATCCGACTATCGGCGCCTAAAGTGTCGTAGGTATGACCCCTCCTCATAGCCTATGTATTTGATTGTTCTGTATCGACTTTGAGGGCATAGTCCTTTTTATTTGGGGAGGGGGTGGTCAACAACCTGCCATAGTTGTTAGAAAAATAGAGGTTGTTTATGTGTATTATTGTTTTGGTTGTTTTATGTGTTGAGCAACAACTACTCTGTGAAAATTGAGAACCTGCATCTGAGTTTGACTGTTAGGATCTTTAGATGACATCTTAGATACTGATATGTTGAACATGGCTAATATGACAAATTAATTGGTGAACCAAGAAACTAACAAAATGCAATCCTGTGTAGTGTGTGTAAGTTTTGATTGAAGTCTAACACTAGGAGCAGAAACTAGAACTTGCCTAAGTAGTCTTGCTTGAATCTGAGAATAACCGGATAAGAATGGATCAGTAGGCCATTTTTGTCAAACCAGTAAAAACCAAAAAAATAAAAGAACCAATGAAAAGCTTATCACTTGAACCCAATTTGAGCCTTAAATCAGTCTTTGTTCTTACCCAACATATATCATATCCTTGGTTCTCCGAAGGTACGATATCACAACTCAGGCCAAAAGCCTAAGTTGAGGGTGATTGCAACCCGAACAAAAAAAAGAAGGGAAAAAAAGGTTCCACCAGTGAGCTAAGTGCATATCAAAATTGCATATAATAAAATAAAAAAAAAAAAAAAGAAAATAATAATAGCTACTGGATCGGGCTGAAATAAGAAAAAGAGGGAATCACTCATAAAAGAATATGTGAAAACGACATGTTGGAAAACCAAGGGATTAGTCACTCACAAAATCAAATATCCATTCCCTAGCCCAGAGCCTAAGTATTTCTTAACATGTTATCATTAGCCACTACTGATTCTTTATGCGAAAACATGAGTGGCTAAATGTCACGACTGGGTGTGTGGGATCTATGACGACATTCTAGTTGCGATTCCGTAAAACGAGTAAAAGGCAATCTCTGTTTACAACCTGTAGTTTACAACTTTCATTATCATTTTAAGTTTATTGAGTGCACGCTTTAGACAGGCCTGTATCTGGTGTTTGTTCGAGAGAAAAGCATCAGTTAGGAAAAAGCTAAACTAAGTTAACGAAAGTTGGAGTTCTAGAGAAGAGATATTTAACACCATATCAAATTAAGCGAAGTCCAATATTGATAACACTTTAAGTTCGACAGAATTAGAGTGAATATTATCTAATTAGGCTGAGAAGCATTAGATTAATTCAATTTGCAAAGGTTCTGTAAACATTGATCTACCTAACACTCAATTTACGGAATAACATTATAGTCGATGTCATAGTGAACACAAAACCTGGTTTCTTTAAATTAACTGAATCAACTTATAACGAGATCGTCTGTAAACTGTGTATTTACATTTTGACTGTAAATGTTGCTGATAGAATACTTTTCAATCAAACCCAATTTAGTTTCCGTTTTATTTGTTTAGGAAATAGTAACGACAATTGAGTAAACGTGAAAGTGAAAGTTTATGTGTAAAGAAATTCTCTGTGGGATCGACCTTAACTCTAGTTGAGTTCTGTAAATTGACAACGACCGTTTACTCTTCTTATTTGGAGTGTAAGTTTGGACCTGCCAAATTTTGGTGCCGCTGCCGGGGAATTTCAATTCAAAAGTGTTTTACTAGCTTTTATTCAATTTGTAGTTATATTTCCTAATTTTACGTTTTGTTTTGTGTTTGTGTCTCTTTCAGGTATGTGCTACTGTGTATGCCAAGTACCAGGAATAAAAAAGCTCCATTGATCCCTTACGACTCAGAACTCAAAGAGATTCTTCGAAAAAGGTGAATGCACAAGAACTGGAGGCACAAAGACAAAGGTTGGGACTAGAAGCTGAAGCCGCTGCAAGAGGTGTTCAGCAGAACGGCGGTAACAACCAACCTAGGATTGTAGATGAGAATAGAGGAGTGGACAGATTGATCCCTCCCCAGTGCCACCCAATAGCTCCAAGGGGTAGAGCTCAACATCCAGCGCACATGATGTATGATGAAGATGATGTAGATTTGGATGGAGCTTGAGCCACTGGAGCGATAGTGTTACCTGCACTACCTCCAGGTGTTAAGTTCAAAATCACCAGCACTATGATTCAATTGTTGAACCTTAAAGGTATGTTTAGGGGTGCAACTGGTGATGATGCAAATCAACACTTGATGAATTTTGTGGCTATCTGTAAGTCACAAGAGATTCTTGGGGTCAACCAAACAACAATGAGATTGAGGCTATTTCCATTGTCTCTTACTGGAGAGGCGACTAACTGGTTAAATGAGATGCTAGATGACTCCATCAGAACTTGGAATGAGTTGAACGAAGCTTTCCTAGAACGATTCTTCCCAGAATCAAAAGAGTTGCAGATGAAGGACGAGATTAGTACACACAAGCAGCTACCAGGAGAAGCAATGCATGATACTTGGTGGAGGTTCAGTCAAAATTTGAAGAAATGCCCCAAGCATGATCTTACCGAAAGGCATGTTAAACAAGCCTTTTATAGGTCTCTGAATTATGTTACTAAACATGTTGTTGATGCAGTTTGTGGAGGCTCATTTATGAGGAAGTCATTTGCGGAGAGCATACAACTATTGGATGAGGTCTCAAAGAATAACAGAGCATGGTACACTAGAGATGCAGAGGTAGGAGAGTTTGGGTATAAATTTGAGCTTTCAGCTGAACAGAGGAAGAAAGAAGAAGAAAGGGACCAAGACATGGCTCATATGAGGACTCAAATAGACCTGCTCACAGATCACATTGTTGCCAAGTCTGAAAAGGTGAATGCTGTGGGACAACATAACAGGTATGAAGATCAGAATCTTGACATTGATGAAGAAGCTAACTATTTGGGAAACCAAGGAGGTTTCCGAAATTATAACTCTGGAAATCAGGGTTACAATTCTGGAAATGCAGTTCGGAGCTATACTAGGGATGGTCAGTATGAAAGGCCAGCAAATAGATATCAAGAAAACTGGCAAAACAGAGATGGGTATAGGAATGATCGCAGTGGTGTATATGTACCTCCAGGTAATAGAGACCGGGCGAGGGGGTAGTTCTAGCGGGTCTAAGCTTGAGGACATGATGGCAAAGGTACTTCAGATGGTTGAGTCAACCGATGTAGGGGTGAAAGAAATGAGAGGTGACTTCTCGAGCATGAGTCAGTTGGTGGACTCTCACACTACCTCCATTAAACAAATAGAGCAGCACTTGGGGCAACTCTCAGCCTCACTAAATCAGAGAAAGAACGGATCAGTACCTAGTGATACCATTCAAGATCCCAAGAAGGACGGACACTACATGGCAATTGCCACCAGGAGTTGTAAAGTTCTTTCTGACCCTATTTCTACAGGTACCAAGTATGAACAGGTCTTGGAGAAAGCTAGCAGAGAGGAGGATGGGACTATACATGTAGATGATCTAGAGGAGGCTCAACCTAAAGTACAACCTGCGAGAGGAAAACAGAAAGAGGTTCAGGAAAACCTGCCTTTATAGCAGATTCCCAGACCGCCTCCTCCTTTCTCTCAAAGGTTCAAAAAGAAAGCTGAAGATGGAAAGTATACAAAATTCATCACCATACTGAAACAACTTTCAGTACACATTCCATTGGTAGAAGCTCTGGAGCAGATGCCAGGATATGCCAAGTTCATGAAAGACTTGGTTACCAAGAAAAGAACTGTAAGTCATGATTTTATAACGATGTTCATCATTGCAGTACCATTGCTACAAGATCTCTGGTTCAGAAAAAGGAGGATCCAGGTGCATTCATGATACCATGCAACATTGGGTCAATCAAGTTTGCAAAAGCTTTATGTGATCTGGGAGGAAGCATAAATCTGATGCCTTTAGCCATTTATAAAAAGTTAGATTTGGGAGTACCAAAACCTACAACAATGAGGTTGATGATGGCTGATAGGTTAGTAAAGAGGCCGGTGGGAATCCTATGTGATGTACTGGTAAAAGTGGACACTTTCATCTTTCCAGCTGATTTCATGATTCTGGATTGCGAAGTAGATTTTGAGGTTCCCATCATCTTGGGAAGACCATTTTTGGCCACTGGAAGAGCTTTAGTGGATGTTGAGATAGGGGAGTTGAAGTTCAGACTCAACACAGATAAAGTAAGGTTCAATATTTGCAGGTCAATGAAGCAACCATGAGATATGAATGTGATATCTGCAATAGAGATGGTCACGGATGAAGACATGATGGTACCCACAGAAGAGAGAATGGTTGTTCAAACATTAGCAGAGTACTGATGAACTTTGATGCTGATTTCTGGTCTGACTATGTAGAGACCGTGAATGCCTTGCAGGGTATGGGAGCACACTCGTATGCTCCAAAGAAATTGGTCTTGGACTTGAAAAATAGGCCAAGCCCTCCAGCGAAACAATCCATTCAGGAGCCACTTGTGTTAGAGCTGAAACAGTTACCTACTAACCTCAGGTATGTATTCTTGGGTACTAATAACACTTTACCTGTGATATTGGCTGCAGATTTGAATGAAGAGCAGGTACAAGAGGTGATCAAGGTGCTAAAGAGATACAAAAGAGCCATTGGTTGGACCATTGCTGATATAATTGGGATACTTCCAGGTATTTGTACACATAAGATTTAGCTTGAGGAAGACTGCAGCCCGAGTATTGAACACCAATAGAGGTTGAATCCACCTATGCAAGAGGTGGTTAAGAAAGAAATAATCAAATGGTTAGATGCTGGGGTGGTCTACCCTATCTCTGATAGTCACTGGGGTGGTCTACCCTATCTCTGATAGCCACTGGGTCAGTTCCATGCAATGTGTGCCTAAAAAGAGAGGTATGACTGTGGTGGAAAATGAAAATAATTAATTAGTCCCGTAGAGACCAGTCACTGGATGATGAGTGTGCATGAACAACATGAAGCTGAATAAGTGGACTTTGAGGGATCATTTCCCCATGCCTTTCATGGACCAGATGTTTGACAGGTTGGCAGGTAAAGGATGGTACTGTTTCTTAGATGGATACTCTGGCTACAACCAGATATCAATTGCACCTGAAGATCAGGAAAAGACCACCTTCATATGTCCTTATGACACCTTTTCGTTTAAACGCATGCCATTTGGACTATGTAATGCACCAGCCACATTCCAAAGGTGTATGATGTCCATCTTTTCAGACATAGTTGAGGACACTCTAGAGGTATTTATGGACGACTTCTCTATAATAGGTGATACCTTTGATGACTGTTTGTTAAATCTTAGCAGGGCTTTACAGAGATGTGAGGAAGCCAACTCAGTGCTAAATTGGGAGAAGTGCCACTTCATGGTAAAAGAGGGCATAGTCCTTGGACACAAAGTGTCACAGAAAGGAATTTAGGTCGACAAGGCTAAGATTGAGGTGATTGAAAAATTACCTCCGCCAATCTGTGTGAAGGGTGTTCAAAGCTTCCTAGGACACGCAGGATTCTATAGACGTTTCATCAAAGACTTCTCTAAAATTACACACCCCATATGTAAGGTTTTAAAGAAGGAGGTGAAGTTTGTCTTTGATGAGGCATGCCTTAAAGCTTTTGAGTGCCTAAAAGAGAAGCTGATTTTACCACCAGTGATTATTGGCCCAGACTGGGCGGAGCCGTTTGAGGTGATGTGTGATGCTAGTGGGACTGCGTTAGGAGCTGTGTTGGGACATAACCGCAACAAGATGTTCCATCCGATTTACTATGCTAGTAAGTCACTAAATGGGGCACAACGAAACTACACAGTCACTGAGCAGGAACTATTGGCTGTAGTGTATGCTTCAGAAAAGTTCAGAGCTTATCTGCTGGGCACTAAGGTGATAGTTCACACAGACCATGATGCCTTGAGATATCTCATGGAAAATAAAGATGCCAAGCCTAGGCTGATTCAATGGATATTGTTTCTCCAAGAGTTTGACTTCGAAGTGAAAGACAAGAGAAGTTGTGAGAACCAGGTAGCTGATCACCTGTCTAGGTTGGAAGCTGCAAAGACGGAAGAACTTGAGCTCAAGATAGATGACACATTCCCGGATGAGCAGGTATTAGCTGCTGCTCTTGACCTTCTTCCTTGGTTTGCTGACTATGCTAATTTTTTGGTTAGTGATTTGATGCATGAGGGGCTAACATATCAGCAAAGGAAAAGGTTCCTGCATGATATAGGCAAGTACTTTTGGGATGAATCATATCTGTACAGGGTGTGTGCAGACAATATAATTAGGCGATGTGTTCCGAAAGCCAAAATGTTTCACATTTTAGAGGCCTGTCACTCATCTCCAGTTGGTGGTCATCATGGCGGTGCTCGAACAGCCCACAAGATACTTCAGTGTGGGTACTACTAGCCCACAATTCATCAATATACAATTGACATAGTAAGGAGCAGTGATGTGTGCCAGTGGCAATGAGCCATATCTCGGCGCCATGAGTTACCCATGACACCTATTCTGGAGGTCGAATTGTTTGATGTGTGGGGTATTGAATTCACGACCCCTTTGTGAGTTCATATGGGAAGAAATATATACTGGTGGCTGTGGACTATGTGTCCAAATGGGTTGAAGTTGTTGCATTACCTGAGAATGATGGAAAGAGTGTTGCTGGGTTCCTGATAAAGAGCATCTTCTCAAGGTTTGGAACACCCAGAGCCATTATCAGTGATGGTGGGTCTCATTACTGTAAAAAGGTTTTTAGTGCACTTCTGACCAAGTATGGGGTAAAACAACACAAGGTTGCAACACCTTATCAGCCACAGACTAGTGGTCAAGTGGAGGTCTCCAACAGGGAAATTAAATCAATCTTTGCAAAGACAGTGAATGCCAATAGGATAGATTGGGCACAGAAGCTAGATGATGCCCTATGGGAATTTCGGCAGCTTTCAAGACACCTATTGGTATGTCTCCATATCAATTGGTGTTTGTAAAGGCATGTCGTTTGCCAGTTGAGCTTGAGCATAGAGCACTCTCGGCGTTGAAGAACCTGAACAAAAATTGGAGCGAGACCACATATTTGAGGCTAGATCAGATCAATGAGATGGATGAGTTCCGTCTGAGGGCCTATGAGAGAGCTGCACTGTATAAAGAGAGGATGAAGCTATATCATGACAAGCATATTGAGAAGATAAGCTTTACTCCTGATGACTTGGTGTTATTCTTCAACTCCAGACTGTGTCTGTTTCCAGGAAAACTGAGGTCTAAATGGTCTGGACCTTTTAAGGTCACACAGGTGATTCAATCTGGTGCTATTGAGCTAGAGAATGATAAAGGTGAGAGGTTCAAAGCTAATGGCCAGAGAATCAAGGCATATCTGGGTGTCCCTGATGATGTGAAGATCGTCAAGGAATGCAGAGTTGATAAAGACTGAGTAATCAAGTAACCTGCGTCGCGCCGCGACGTTAAATTATGCGCTAAAGAAGAAATTTGGGAGGCAACCCAAGATGTAATTGTATTAGGTATTGTCCCTGTCACCTTATTTTTTTCTTTGTTTTTATAGAGTCATGGTGTGCTGATGTGTGCAAGAGAGAATAGATGGAAAAATGCAGGATCTGGTGCAGACATTACCACGGACCGTGGTGTTCTTCACGAGCACTTCCACGGTCCGTCAATTGGAGGAAAAATTGCAGAAGCTACTGGAAATTGAAAAAGAGGGTTCACGGAAGGGTTCACGATCCGTTAAAGGTTGTACGGACCGTCTAGCCTCTCGTGAACCTCAGGTATGAATGCCAAGTTTGGAAGTTGCAGTCACGGACAAGTTCACGGACCGTGATGCCCGTCACGGGAAACTTCACGATTCGTGGTCTTCCGCAGTCAAGTGTTAGGTCAACCCAATACTTCTAAGAAACCGACCCGACCCGTTAAAGGCGAAATTGAATTAAAACGTATTTATTGCTCTTCAAACGCCAAAGGTCAGGTTGTTCTCCCTATTTTCTCTTCCATAACGGTTTTTGAGAGATTTAAAACCGTCCCCATCATGCATAATTCCTAAATTCATCAAAGATTCCAAGCCCTAATCCTAAGTTGTCAAGAATCTCAAGTAGCAATCACTGATTCATCCTTCTGCGCAAAATTTGGTTCTGAACTCCAAGTAAGTTCTTTCATCACTTGCTATAAGATCGATCTTGTATGACACTTAGTTGAGTTATTTCAATTTCGTCGAGTGTAGTCTAAGTATGTGACGAGTTACTTGTGATTTATGCTGATTTACAAGTGGGTAAGTCAATTTGGGAAGTTTTTGTTGTTCTTATGTGTTAGTCTATGACAGAGGGTCAAATTTGTTAGTGGGTGGTGGACTTTAGGTTAAGTAATATAGTGAGAAATAAGTAAGGTAAAGCTTCAGTTATAGGAAGATTTTGTATTTGTGTAAATATGGTGCTTAAGTGCTAAAATTCGAGGTTGGGAAGAAGGTGACTGACATATTGCTTTGTGTAAGACTACGACAGGTTGTACGGACCGTGGAAGACATCACGGGTCGTGCAATTTGTCGTAAACCACACTTGAACTCAACCCAACAGTCAGTTAAAGTTCACGGGCAGTATTACGGACCGTGGTGCACTCCACGGGCCGTGAATCCGTCTGTGAACATCCCTTTGTAAATAGTTCCACAGTCCATCTTGCACACTAACTCTGTCTCAATCCCACGAGTGCTTTCACGGTCCATGTTGCAAACCATGACTCGTACAAGTTCTCGTCCAGTCTACTTCAGTTGTACAATTTTAAATTTTTTCCATATGTGGTTTTTGTTCATTGCTGGTTCCGTAGCCCTTCTCGATGATATATTGGGTGACGACATTATTAAGGTAAGGCGTCACGATGATATGACATAGGGGAAGTCTGAGTACCCGCTAGTGTGTCATTTTATTGATGATTATTCTAAATTGGTTATTTGTTCCTCAGGTACAATGGGTCCTGCCCCCATCACCGCTTCGTAATTAGATGGTCATGACGACTCCGAAGCGAGTGGGTTTTGAGGTGCAAATAAATGTCACACCTGAAGATCACTCGCCTCGTGATACTTGATCACTGGGTAGAAGAGCTATTCTCCAAGACTCTCCTTCTTAAGCTGAAGAGAGAGGTAGTAGTTTTGATAATGGGGAAAACTCGACCAGTAAATCTGATGCTACTGCTGGCAGCCAATCTGCGGATGACTCGAGGGCAGTGCTGAATCTGAAAGCGGTTCT